CAAAAATAAATAAACGTTGAAAAAAAAAATAATAATAAATAAATAAATAAACAACAGAATTGAAATGTTCGGCAGAAGGGTTGGAATATGAAATTGAAATCGCCTGGAAAATCAGAGAGAGAGGTGGGAAGCAGGAGAGGAGAGGAGAAGCCGAGGAGCCTTCCAGAAAGACCCGCGTGCAGCTGAAAGGGAGTGAGGGCGGCGGCAGAAAGGCCGGGCCTGCGGCGCAGTGCTCGCGGGAAGGGCAGTTAGCGGTGAAACCTCACAGCGTTATTAAGCAAAGGTGAAAGCTGATCATCTGAATTTGCGTCACCCGAATTAACTCTTAAACACCTGAAGACGGCAAAGAGAATTCTAGAGTTGTCCCAGAAATTCCCTAAATGAAGAGCGTAAGGGTGGGCGGTCCCCGGCGATTAGGAAAGGAGCTCTCCCCGGCGGTGAGGTGGAAAGCGTAGAAGCCACTTGTGCGTACAGAGCAGGCCGCACCCTGACGCCAGTGCCGCGGGAGAGCAGGGCCGGGACTAGGGCAGGCGGGAGTGATGGGCCCATCCGACTGTGGCGCAGGTGGAGAGCTCCTGAATGCGGGGTAGGTAAAGCCAGCAGCATCGGAAAGACCATCCTTCGCGACCGTGATGCCTCCCGGGCTCCCGCCCTCCAGGAGACCAGGGACTTTGTGTCCTCACAGCCCTGCGCCCGGTGCCTAGGATGGTGTGGGGGGAGGGGGGCGGCAGAGTAGGTGCAAGATGACTACATATTGAGTGAACACAGTTGTGTATGTACAAAAAACACCGTACCCCAAGGACAAAGGAATCTAGAAACCCATCTGGTAAAATGGTCTACGTTAACCGAGAAGGAAGACCGTGTCATTACTTCAGTAGGTACTGAAAAACAAATTCCACTACGTTTTCTTTAAAACAAAACAAATATGACAATTAAAAACAATTTTGTGAAATTGAAGTGTAATGAGCACGCGGGGAAAAGCTGCTGATTCTTAGTAAGGTAGGGAGAGGTGGATAGGTCTATAACCCGCTAAAGCACGGCTATCAAGAGCCCTGAGTGCTCTTCCCCAGAAGTGTTTCTCACAGGCGCGGGCAGCAGGCAGGAACGCAGGGCATCACCGTGACGATGGACACACCGGGAGCCTGGCCCGTATGGAAGTCAGGCAAATGAAAGCCATAAATACCTGAAAAGAAAAGATGAAACGGTCACTCTTTGCAGCTAATCCACTATCTAGGAAATCCGTGCAAGCCCCTTAAGACAAAAGGCCGCTAGTAAAAGAGGAAGCTTGGATACATGATCTCCGTCGAAAACTTCGTGG